TTTCTTCTCATAAAACAAGTCTTACAAAAGATTTAAACAATGTAAGAAACACAGTTTTCATTCAAAAAATTACACAGTATACATCAAAAAAGAAGACTTATCTATTTAGAAGAGCAAATACATTTAAATTCCACCTGACTTACCAGATGCCAACTTAAAGGCTTTTCCATGCTAATGTTAACAACTAATTAATAGGTTTTTTAACCACCAAGGTCTGAAAAGAGAGTCATTCATCGGAAAGTTATTCGAGAAAATCGTGAAGGCTTGATTAAAAAATTTAAAACCACTTACACCATGCTGTTTAGACATGAGAGGGCTATGGTACATTCCATTGTGGATAATGCCCAACTGCTGGTATGGAAGTTACCAGAAAAGGGTTACTAAATCTGACAGCAAGTACACTCAAATGTTATTTCTCAATAGAAAGGTTTTTTTTAATTAATTTGTACATACAAAAAAAACTTTGAAGTTGGAATTGGAATATATAACCTATGGAAAAAAGTGTCTATTTATCTTTGGTAATGGAAACATAAATTTTAAAAATATAAGTTAGGTTTGAAATTTTTGATAATTATCAACCAGTTTCCCTCTAACCTGACAATACATTATGTAAAAAAAATTCTTTTTAAGATAAATTAAAAACAAGTAATCAATGCAGAATATTACTTCATCAAAATGATATGTGATTTTTTAATTAAAGTAACTTGTTATAAAATAAAAATAAAAAAGAAAACAGTTGCAAACTATGTGCCTAATATTTTTTTTTTTTAATTTGCTGATACTTTACATTTGTTCCAATGCCAGCAATCAGCATTTTTTATTCTTAATAAAATTTATGCATATTTTGTGTTTAAACTATTTTTCTAAAGATAACAAAATCACAAAAAAATTGAAGCTAATTTTAACATTCCTATACTAAAAGTAATCTTTATAGAACAATTTTCCTTACTTCCAAAAAAAAAGAAAAGAAAAAAAAGAAGATAATATTAGGAATAAAAATAAATTTTCAATTAAGGGTGCACAACCTGTTACCACGGGTAAAATGCAGTCCTTTAATGATAAATGCGTGTCCCCAACACTCTAATTGCAACAACTAAAAATTGGAAAAAACTACATAAATAGCATGAGAAACTTTTAAAATATTTTCAATAAACTTTAAAAAACAAAATAATTCATTAAATACTCAATATGTAGAGGAACTAATTTGTAAAGAATCAAATTAAAATTTTTCAACATTTTGGTTTCTATTAAAAAAAATCTTAAACCAAAACTTGTTCACAATATGTCTTAAAGAATATAAAATTAAGAGATAATGAAGATTAAAAAAAAAATAATAATACAATTATTTCTCAGTGAAGTGGAAAACCTGTTATAATTTAATCAAAAAAGAAATTTAATTTCATTAAGTTCAAAATTTCATCAAAACTTCTTTCAATAGATTTTATAATTCAAAAGTATTTTACTCACATTATTTTTAAATTTTTAATTAATAATTATTACAAAAATGAAGTAGATATAAAAACTTAATACATTGTGGCCTTTGAAGGCTAAAATCTTTCCTCTGCCACTCTCAAACAAAAAGAGGTTGCACATCCTTATTTTAAATAAAAAACACATTATCTTCACAAAAAAAAACTTTGATTCTTTACTTTAAAACTTTACTTTGTATCAAAAAACACACTTTTTTAACATACTTTTTCCAAACCTTAAATTCCTAATCTTTATATCAACTATGAATGACACTCAGAGTATCTTCCTTGTAACAAATTTGAGATTTTGCGACTAAACTTTATTAGTACCATCATAAATACCTGGCAATAAGCATACCTAACAGAAAACTAGTCATTGTTTCATTTTGTGACGTAGCAAAGTTAACTGTCAACCAAACCTACAGCCAAAATGTAAATATTTTACTCAACTTTGTTTAAAATCTAAACTTTTACTGGTTTTCAAGCATGTTTGTTTCTCTCCAAGCAGGGATTGTTATAACAGGCTAGTTGAACCACTTTCCTGGCTTCAAATATTGATAAGAGTTAAGGCAAATATTTACAGAGAAGACTAAACAGTTGAGAGACTTCGTGCAATATTAGCCATCAATCAATCAAATGGAATTATACTAATTTAAATGGTTATTTAGTAAGTTATAACCCAACCAGACCTTACATACAGGGAAAACTAATGAAGTTACAACTGAAATAAATTTTTCTAAAAAAAAAAGAAGTATCCAGATTACTATTAACTGACACAAAGGTCTGATACTGAAAATTTATATTTTCTGAAAACAACTCTAAATATAATAATTAAAACTGATAACAGTCAGGATACTAATTATAGGTATAAAAGTAGCATTATAAGGTTTTTGTAAATATCCACATACAGAATTGTACTAAAACAGTAATAAAATCTTGAATAATATTTTCAAAATAACACCAGAAAGAAAAAAAAGAAGAAAAAAAAGGTCAAATTAGAACTAGTAGTAATAATACTTTGCTGATGCAAAATGAAAGCATTTTGAAATATTTTCCTAAACAATAAAATTTAATTACTCTAAATGAAAACATATTTCCACATAAAATAATTGAAAGAGTACTATAAATAAGTTAAAGAATTACATTTCTTGGATTTTATAGATCTGGTAGATAACCGAAACAAAGATAAAATCCTGAATATTATTTTTTAAACGAAAGCAGAAAAATGGCATTAACTACATGAATTAATGTGCCACTGAAACAACATGCCTAGCTCTCATTTACACACAAAAAAAAAAAAAAAAAAAAAAAAAAAANACAAAAAAAAAAAAAAAAAGCAAATGCAGTACACTCTCGATATCTTAAAGTTGAAGGGATGCGATGCTATAACAAATTATTTAAATTTACATTTTCGAAAGAAAAAGAAACCTATTTGCTGTTAGAAGAAAATTATTTTGATTTTATAACGTGCAGAATTCAGAGAACTACTAGGTGTATTTTAATTCCCCCCCTCCTAAAAATATTGGACTGCCATTCATGCTGTTTCTATTATTAATGTTTCTGTTATTAACAAGCTATTAAACAACATGAAATCAAACAATTTATAGGAAATCAAAAAAATCTTATTAAATAAAATAGTATTTACATTAAAAAAATGACTCATAGTATAACATTTCAGTTTTTCGCTTGCACAAAAATAATATTAATGACAGCTAAAATAAAGATAACTTTTGCAATAACTTAATATATTTACAATTGAAATAAATTCTTTTTCTAATTTCTTGAGAAAATGTAGTAAATGCCGAACACATTAACAAAAGTTAATTTGTTATTTACAATTAAAATATCTTTAATGTAATGAATGTATAAAGCATAAATATTGAAAAATAATTTTTAAAATGTATCTTTACCATCACAAGTCCATGAATTTTTAAAAATTACAATATACAATTCTAGCAAATTTAACATATGATACAATGGCAAAATAGTACTAGATGTTTAAGCAAGGAACAGGCTTAGAAACATTGGCGCCATAGTTTCCTTAAACTAGAACCAAAATTTTAATGTAATAAAAAAAAATTTAAATTGTAACTGTAAACAAATATTTTTAAAAGTTGAGGATAATTTTTAATTAAAAACCAATGTTGGGTATTTTAAACTTTTTGATATTAAGTCTATTTTAAAATTTTTTTAAAAAAAGAAAATAAATAAATAAAAATGAATAATCTAGCAAGTGATTGATACCATCTTAATAAAGATAAGAAATGGTTAATATTCTATAAAATAACCTTACTAGAAATAAAATTGTGTTTTAATTTATTCCCTTATTTTAAAAGAAAACAAAACTGCAATAACACATATTTAGAATTGATAATATACAGTTACTAACAATGAAATATATCATTCTAAAGGTAATGTATAAACCAAATCTGAAGTTTAAGATACTACTCTACACATAAATCACTATATTTTTCTCTGGGGGGGAATGCTTAACATATCAATAATTAATAGGAATTAAATTTTGAATGTAAAACGAAAATGTATTGTTTAACACAAAAACAATATAAATGAAAATAATCATTATAAAGGTAATGTATAAACCAAATCTGAAATTTAAGATACTGTTCTACACATAAATCTCTCTCTATTTTTTTTTTGGGGGGGGAGAGAGAGAGAGAGAATAATTAACATACCAATAATTAATAGGGGTTAAATTGTGAATGTAAAAAAATAATATATTGTTTAACATGAAAACAATACTTCTAAATGAAAATAAAATTTCAAAAATAAAAATGATCAAAATAAAATTTACAATAAACAATATGTCAGGATCGTAAAAGAAAAAAAAATACTGCAATTAATACTATCATTCACAAAATATGCATAATAAAAAAAGGGAAACTTAATAACAAACAAAACATTCAAATGCATGATTCAATCTTTTTATAACACAGCTTAATACATTATTTGGTGCTATTTTATATACACATACACATCTGTTTTTCAGAGGGGGGGGGGGTATACCAACTAGAAGTATGAATTCAGTCTTCTACTTTTAGAAGTATAGCATATATTTTAACAATGAATATTTTACTTGAAAAAATAAAATATTTTCTTGTTTAAAACTTTAAATAATAAAATGAACACTTTTGAAAATGAAAGCTGATATAAATGAAGATAAATTTCTATAGTTCTTTCATTAGTAAAATTAAAATATAAAATTAAATTCAAATTCTAAAATTTGTTTTAAATGAAATAATAAAATTATAAAAAAATTTAATTGTATAGGATTTAGACGAAGGTTTTTAAACCATTGGAATGGTTATTTCGGATTTAATTAAACAAGCTATCACACTCACAGTTTAACGGAAGATTACTAAAAAGTGTGTTCATGAATTGAAAATAAATTGTTCAAGAAATAAGGCATCATTAGTAAACTACGCCAACTTTTTTTTTTCAAACCTTCCCATAATTGGACAATCATAAATAAAAATCATAGAAAATCTGTATAAGTTAGCATACCTGTAATTGTAAACTTTAATTTTTATTCACCAAATACATATCAAAATCTTATTTAAAAAATCACTTGCCTTCTCTTTTAAATAGTACCAAATAACTAGGCACATTAAATGGTATAAAAAAGCATGTATACACGAGAAAATTATAGTCAAAATGCACATAAAGGAGTTATAACAATATGTAGCTTAAAGCAATCAGAATTGGGCCCAGTTAGGTATGAGGATCTGCTAGATCTTAAGTCATTGAGATCATCAAAAGGAACCAACTCGTTAATATTGAGCATGCGTTCTTCATCGGTGAAGACAAAATTCTTCTGCACAACCTTACGAACGTGCTCTATACCATCTTGCTTACCACAGATCAGAATACCAACTGAGACTCTTGCAACTACATCCGGATCTTTTTGCGTCAAAGACAGCCTGACGGTCTTAGACACCGATTCAGGAACTTCCAAAGTCCCTTGCCAAACGATAAGAAAAAACTTCTTAAACCACACGCCCTTTGGGTAGAGTTCTGCAGTCCACTCAAAAGTCTCATTAGAGTGACATTCAGAAAAGCTACATGGGGTTGTAAAGACTAGCGTGGAAACGCCATAGGATTGTAAAGAATGGTAGTTTTCCACTGAAAGACAGGCACTCCATTTTTCGGCAGTGTAGAGGCGTGGAGTAAATAAAAGAAGTCCATCTTCTTTTTGAAGAGCATCTAGTACTCGATGATCAGTTTGATTTGAATGGAAGGCCATGGCCAAGGCCATTCTTTCAATGAAAAAGTCTTTGAAACGACTAGTGAGAGAATGAATAAGCAAACTTGCCAACTGGCGTGGTGACATCATTGGAAATCGTACATGAGACATTACTTCTGTTACAAGATTGGCAAAATGATAACTTGCATCAGGCTGGCTATGTATAGAGAGCAATTTTTGTTCCTGAATAGCAAGCCACTTTGCTACACACCTAAGAGATTTTAAGAAATTAATTGAAAATAACACAAACATTAAAAAAATATAAAGTAATGTGATACAGCTAAATCTCAAACTTAAAAGGAGATACTAAAAATTCTGTGACATCAAACATTTGGGATACCGAAAATTGAATTTTTTTTAAAAATTCTGTCAAAATATTAACTGCACCAGCATTTAAAAAGTTGTATAGCATGTATAAACTTTAAAAAACATCAATTTTAAACAATACTAATATCTTTGCTGTTTCATTTGATTGTGGGACCTTTTTGAGATGTTTTTGCCAACTCGAATTGCCTTTTTTTTTATTCCTTAACTGAAACATTGCCAACAGTAATTACTTTTTACATAAATATCAGTTTCTTTCAGTTTCATTAAATAAATATGTATCAGCATTACCATTTTTTGAGCAAATATTCTCAGTTATACATACATCTGTGTAATTTTTTAGAAAAAAATAATTCATGCTATTTCTTTTCAAGCATGGTAATCTTTTTCTTATTAGGGTCTTAAGAATTGGTTTCTAAAATTGTTCAAGAAAAGTTTATGAGAATTAGCATTCAGAAAAGAATTATAAATTTTATAAAATTCTAGAAAATTTAATATGCCTGATTCTTCCTTAAAGGAACATGGAATGCATTTATTGGATTCAAAAAGATTACAGCAACACAAATTATAAAATATTTAGAATAATTCCACACACATCAAAATGAAACTTAATAACTTAATTTTTTTGATTGATTATAAATTTTAGTAAATCAAAAGTAGACAAAGATGTAATAATGTTCTTTCTTGGAACCAATTTTAAGGCTATTCTTAATCAACACCATATCTATTCTTTTCACATCATTTAATAATCCAAAATGTAAAATCATTAGATTTGCTGCTGACTTTTTGATGTGATTAAGAAAATAACTTTGGGGAGCATAAACAGGGGTCTGTCCAGGCCGAATTTACTACCGTTTAGTGGTACCTTCGTAAATTCAACTTTAGGAAAAACGGTAGTTTCACAAATTCAATTTTAGGAAAAATGGTAGTTTCACAAAATACTTTTTCCTTAGATTTTATTTTACATCCCTTGAGAAACGATAAATCCATATTTTTGTGTGAATTTTTAAATATAATTTTTAATTTTTCACAAATTATGTCTAAAATTTCACAAAATAGGTACCTCTCAGAAAAATCTAGACAGAACCCTGATAAAAGAACACTTGTGATAGATAATTTATGGATATAAACTTACTGGAAAACAGCAACTTCATCACTAATAACCAAGTCGGACTGCCGAAGGAAACTTATTAGAACTTCAGTTTCTAAAGATCCAAAGTCTTCCATATCACACACCAACTCAAAGTTCCAAGTTATAAAGCTTGCACATGCTTTGTATACTAAACTATGACCACAATTCAGAGTATACTGTAACCACAAAACCTATAAAATAATAATAATAAAATTGCATAAATAAGGGAAAATAGAACTAGAGTTTAAAAGAAATGTTTTTTTTTTTTTTTGGCAGCAGAAACAGAATACGTAAAACCAGGTTTTCGTTATTTTTTAAAAAAGTCCCCCCCCCCAAAAAAAAACTATACTTTTTTCTCTTTTCTGATATTTTTTAGAAAGAATATGGGTTATTTTATAGAGAACCCTACTACAACTATTTTTTTTAAAAAATGAGCTAAAAAGTCAAATAATTCAAACCTTACATACTCTGGAGCATCAACCTAGTTTTTTGAAGGCTTGAATAAGTTTTTGATATTTGCCATGTCAAAAACCAGTTTCCAACGTCAAAAATCCATTTCAGGGTGAATCCTTAATAGGAACAGGGTGGATCTGATAAATCACACCTCACAGTACTAACTAGATTTAATACTTATTTATTTCGTACTTATAAACTATATATTTTTAGATAGATATTTTTTTATTATAAATTATTATCCCAGGATTTGATGTATTTTTCTATTTTTATCTACACAAAGCAAAATTTTGCAAAATTTTTTAGTTTTTAACTACAAGAACATGAACTTCACTAAGACATAAGTTTAAGAAATTATTTGTAAAAATACACAAAATTTTCTTATTTAAAAAAATAAAATTTTATGTGTAATACAATAAACAAAAATTTCATAGCTTCTGTAGTTTGAGGAGAACTTACTGGTTAGTTCGTATTAAAATCATAATAATTAAAACACTAAAAGATTTTAATATTTGCCCTCAAATTTTTAACATTGCATTTTAACAATAATATTTTTTTTTATCCTACATGTTCTCTATTTTAATAAGCTAATGTTAGCATAAACTTTCATTTTTTTACTATAAAATAAGGATCTAGTAATGTACAAATAAGACAATAAGATTTACATACCTTTACAAAAAATTTACTTCACTAAATTTAATTTCTTTTAAAAAATAAATTATTAAAATAATTGAATTAAAAAGAAAAATTTAGAGGCAACAATAGTTCCCCAGTCAAGTTCAGAATCATTTAAAAGTTAAAAAAAAAAATATATTTTTAAAGGTCAACAAAAGATTAAACCACATAAACCAAAAATTTAAAGAAGAAAACCTGTACAAGTTTCAAACAGTCAAACTTATAATTTTTCTTAAAATAAGCTGTCAGACTACTTATAAGGAATATTGAAATTTTATGACAAATTAGACTACAATTATAAAAAAGCAATATTCCTAAGCATTTACCAATTGGTTATGACGTGTGGCAGACACTACATGGCGACACATATAATCAACGCAAAGATGAACTAAATCCTTTACATTATATTTATCGGCCAAAGTAACCAAGGGCAAGACAAGGAAGTGATTTATGTGAAGTTTGCCTGTATATAGATATTTCAAAAAATCAGGAAATACAAGTACACACGCTGGATCTTCTTGCAAGCATATTTTTGTTTCTTGCGATTCACTCCAATTTGGATTCATCAACATTACCTAAAAGAAAATTTAGACATTAGGTTGATAATAAAAAAAATTAAATTATAATTTTAAATATTGTCAGTATTATAAAACTAACATAACATAGATAATTCCCCTTCTTACTCCTTAACCCTGCACAAAACTGCCTTCAATGTAATAAGAATTACAGGATGGGATTCTCTAGACAAGCTCAAATTCAAAACTTCCGGCATAAAATTTGAGAAATGTAATGTAGATGCAGAAATTAAAAATTCATCATTATTTCATATCTAAAAGTTTCAAACAGGGGTGGATTCAAACCCTCGACGGGCACAAGGGGGGTTGCGACAATGATGGAATGGATGGGCAAAATATCCCATTTCTTCCTTAAAAAAATTCTTAACGAAATCAATCTGATAATTTTTCCTATCACATTGATAGAGAATTGTATAATATTTCAATCATTTAAAAAGTATTTTTCTTAAATCAATTTTCTTCCGTAGTTTATATTACAGGAGCTCTACATACAATTGAACCATGAGTCATTGTTACAGCATTCTCAGTTTTTCCCATGTATCATACTGTTTTAATGGTCCCATCACAAACGATATTTTTATGTTAATAATACCCATTTAGATTGTTTTAAAAACTTGCTGATTTCCTATCTAAAAAAACTATTAACTATTCTATTAACTTAAAAATAATAAAAAAATCATAAATTTTTTTTAGAAGAAAAACAGAAATTCTAGAAACTAATAATGAAGAAGAAAATACTGTTACAGTTTAAATTTGTTTCAGTAGCTGGAAAGTACCCCAAATAGCAAGTATGATGTTTAAGCATTAGTGGATGATAATGTTAAAACGTGTGAAGTCTGTTATAGAAATGTAGTATAAGCTGTGTATAGAATATACAGTGTATCTTCTACATTTTAGATTTTCAAATTCATGACTTTTCATGATTTTCCATGACTAATTCCAAGAACTTTTCATGACTTAGCGAAGTTACTATTTTCTCCAATAAAAATGCAACAATAAATTAAAAAAAGCATTATACTTATAACATTAATTGAAATGATAGGTATAACCAAAATTGCTATACTCTGCATCTTCATATTTATAAATTTTAAATTTGAAGATTTAAATTTATAGATTTTAAGAGTTGAAACAATAAAATAGCTGAAAAAAAAATACAAAAGCAAATATTTTTTTTCTGCAGAATTATATTCTAAAGATACTTAGTTCATCATAAAGGAAAGAAATGCTCCTTATTTTTCTGTTCTCATTTCGGAATAAAAAAAATTCGCCAATGACTGGTTTACTTCAACTAGAATTTTAAATTGATAAAAATAAAAAAATAAAAATTCTTAAATCACAAAAGTTTAAAAGATAATTCGCTCTAGAAATGATGTTTTGTCTTTCATTTTTTGAAAGAAAACCATAATTTTTAAAGAACAAGACAAAATCATTTGATATTTTAATAAAATATGCCTGAGTGGTGATTTTGTTAGGAATTTAGATACAGTACAGAACCCGTTATCTGGAAATCAGTAAACCGGAAAACCAAAAAACCGGAAAGAAATTCATTAAATTTTCCCGCCATTTTTTTTTTTTTAAAAATGTTTTTTTCCTTATAAGATTTTAGGATTTTTCTTTCTTTTTTGAAAGATGTTTACCTTACCATCATTTTGGAAATAATCATTAGTGTATTACTTCGTTTTCTCAAGATTATTTCCAAATATATTTTTTTTTTAGTTGGGCTTAACAATAAAAGAACGGCTTTTTGTAGCGATTCAGAAAACCGGAAAAATCAGTTATCCGGAATAGCGATGGTCCCGATCGTTCCGGATAATCGGTTCCCTACTGTATTTGGAACAGGATGAAATTGGGGTGGGGAGTGGGATTCCATTTTAAAAATTAGATTTTTCGGAGACCTAAATTCACGACTTTCCAGTTGGGCGGATACCCTGAATATATATTATATATAGAGAGAGAGAGAATATATGTATAGAATATATATAGAAATGTTGTATACTCACAGGAACTTACAGAAAATGAACAGCAATCTGTTACAAATGTAGCAAATTTATTATTTGCACCGGGTATCGACTCAATTTCAGAAAAAAAAAATTCTAACTCTTCCAGGCCTATCAGATAAATTTCAATGAAAATCCATACCATGCCATTTTTAATCAGAAAACTTTGACTTTCCTTTATTTGTAATGTGTGACAGCTTAATGTGTAAGAGTTTTTTTGTTTTTCTTTGTGAGCAAAAGCATATAATAGAATGAAATTGGAAATATAGAAAAGTTTCACTAAAAAGTGGACTTACTTTTATAAAATCAGGGGTCTGTCCAGACATTTTGTAATAGGTCCGTTTTTCGTGAAATTGTGAAAAAATTACTCTTTCTTTCAACCAGGGTCCGCTTTTATGAATTTGTGCAAACAGGGTCCGTTATTGCAAAAAAAGAACTTTTTCAAGGAGTTCTTAAATTGTAAAAATATACAAGATTATGCTCAACACTGTAAAATTATAATTAAAAAAATTACATTTTAAAAAATAAACAACAATTGCTGCTTCTAAATTAGAGATGCAACATACAAATATTTGGTATTTAGCCTATACTGCTGAACGCAGAATATTAATTCGGGACGAATAATGGAAGAATTGTCTGCCGAAGACAAAACTTAATTCGTTTACATCCATCTTTCTTGTTTTCTACCCTGGAAAGGGTTTATTCGATTAACAAAATAATAATGAAGATAAACAAATTTGTGAAGGGTCCGATTAAAAGAAAAATCATTTTGTGAAGGGTCCGTTTTTAAGTTAAAATATTTTGTGAAGGGTCTGTTTTTAAGTTAAAATATTTTGTGAAGGGTCTGTTTTTATGAAAAGATATTTTGTTAAGGGTCCGTTAACGGACCCAAATTTCTTCTAAACAGACCCTTGAAAATAATTCTCAGACACGATAGAATTATTTAACTCGAATCTAAATAACTGATTACTGTTACAGACAATTTTAAGACGGATTATTTTCTAGGCATAATATTAAAATTTTCCAGGTATAGCATAGGAATTTTCCAGATTCATTGTAAAAAATTAAGCCTTTCCCTACCTTTTAGAGATGCAATCACAAGATGCACAGATGCAATCACAAATTGTAATGCAATCACAAGTTTGGGTAGTATGTGGTGCAAGAAAGCAACCATGTACAGTACGAACCCGTTATCCGGAAATCAGAAAACCTGAAAACCAAAAAACCGGAACGAAATTCAAATAATTTTCCAGCCATTTAAAAAAAAATTTTCCTAATAAGATTTTAGGATTTTCCTTTCTTTTTTGAAAGATTTTTACCTTACCATCATTTTGGAAATAATCATTAGTCTATTACTTCATCGTTTTTTCTTCTTTTTAAGATTATTTCCAAATTTTTTTTTAGTTGGGTTTAACAATAAAAAAAAACGGCTTTTTGTAGCTATTCAGAAAAATCAGTTATGCGGAATAGCGATGGTCTGATTGTTCCGGATAATCGGTTCCCTACTGTATAACCAAAATTCTATTTACTATAAAAAGAAGTTACAGCTTATTGATGATATGAAAATCATGATAGTTTATTGACCACTTAAAAATCAGTTAATTTTCAAGAAAACGGTCATAAAAGTGTCTATTTTTTATATACATGTATTTGATTAGTGCTGACGTCTAGCTTAAAATAAAATAACTATCTATAATTACCTTAAGAATATCCTGGCACTGCCATCTGGTGTGTAAAATGAGAAATAATATGTTTTACAGGCAAAAGCTTATTTTATTCTTATAGCATTACTACTGAACACTCCAGCCCGGGAATATCACGGGAGAGAGAAATAGATGGCGAAACCTCACCCCCTCATTTTCATGGGAGAGAGAAGAAAGGAGTTAATGTGAAAATAAAAGTAAATAAAAAACTACCTGAAAAACATCACTAGAAGCACAAAGAATGAGGCGATGAGCTGCAAAATGCTTCCCACCGACTTCTAATGTGATATCACTAAGAAGCCGTTCCGCATACAAGCTAGCAATTTTTTCTAATACTGTATTTGAGTTATCAATTTGCTGTTCATGTTCTTTATCACACAGTCTGTGACCTTCAGGAGCAGTGTCAGTCCTGGAGCAACTTCCATGGTTGGAATGTTCGGGTCTATCATTTTTTGAGCCCAAGTTTTGAGCTCTGCTGAAAAACATTTTCTTCTGGTTGTTGTTCTGTTCATGAATAGAACACTACCAAGCTATTGGATGAAAAAAGAAATTTAAATATTATAGCATAAGTAACAGATAAAAAACAGGCTGATGAGGCCTATTTATGACTTACAATAACCTGATTAACCTAACATGACTTTGAATGAAAACCAGAAAGGATAAATCAAGTACAATGTGGAGATTTTCTTATCATGATCTGATGCAAAATAATCACCAAGTTTTGACAACTTCCGGGCAACATCTCACGAGAAACTATAAAAAAAAAAATCACAGAAAAGACCCACTCGCAAGGTATAAATAACTAGTAGCCATCTCTGGGCAAACATCAACAAATATTTTTTATAAAAATTTGCACGTTTAAAATCCATTTGGCACCTTGGCGATTGTACTTAGCGCTACAGATCACGGTACAAAAATACCGCCGAAAGTCGAATACGAGTAGATGTAATTGTAGATAATTATGAGAATGATTGAGACACTGGAAAAAAGTATTGAAAAAAAAGAGGTACTGGGAAGACAAGTAATAACGATCGATATTTCATACGATATTTGGGAGAAATTCATAACGTTATGACAATGTTTCGAAAACTCTTTGGAGTTGGTTAAAATAAAGCTATATATATTTCGCATAAAATGATCTACAAATGCAATACATCAAAGACAATTTGTTTCTTTTTTTGTGTGTCTACACCTTACAGTAAACAAGCAAACTTACTCCATTTTCTATAAGAATAATTTAAGACAACATACTTATTTACAAAATAAATGCACAAATTAATCCGTAATTACAAAATATTATCAATCAAAACTTACGTTCCCAAATCAACTTTTCGTTTCGTTGTTTCTTTCGTTCTCATTCACTTATGTTGCCATGCAAGGAAAACTCTTTTAATAATGCTAGCTCTTTTGAAAATTACAGGGTCATTCTCACTAAAAGCATTTTTTTTTTCAGGAACTATTTTCAGTATAATTCAGGCTTGAAAAATTTGCGTTGGAGAATTTGGAGTGGAGAACAAAAAACTGATTATAAATAACTATCAGGTTAATATGACTAAAAACCTGACTGGTGCGTTCACAACGCTCCACTACGCCATCTGGGGAGAAGACCGGGTCCATGTCATCTCCCAACCCCCTATCCTCTACTCTTATTTTCAGTTGTATAGGAATGTGCTACAATATTTCCTCCTTTCTTAATATTTTCAGCATTTAACTATCAAAAATATTTTTTAAAATTCCCACAATGCTTTTTTTGGAACTATGTTTAATGCAGTTTTTAATTCCATATAGTTTTCTAACTTAAAAGTATTCTTTATTTATTTGAAAATCAAGACAGAGCCTAACGCACTTCCCTCATCTATTACTCTCCACACACTAATGGTGAGAATATACGAAGTGTTGGTTCAAATATTTATCTCTCGAAAAGACTTAAGTAATGAACAAGAAAAAGAAGCATAAATATAAGTCAACGATAATTTCATTTAAAAAAAAAATCATTTTTACGGTAAGAATGAAAAAAAAAAAAATTAAATTCATTCTGAATTACTATTTAAAAGAGATCAGTAGCATAATTTTTTTTTAAAAAATTAAGCCTAGAAGAGTGTTTTCTAAAGCTACAAATGAGCTGTTTATAATTGATAAAAGTTTAGAAAATTTAATCCTATTCTTCTCTACAGATTTTCAATGCACTACCTAAGTAGTGATCTACTTTTTATGATAATTATACAATAAAAATTGGGCCACCTATTAAGAAGAATTGAAAAATTTCGAGTTTTAATGCTCAGCGGAGTACGATCAAACTAACGATTGTAAATACAAAGTATCGAAAAATAAATGACATTTCGCAACTCGGTAAATCAAATATTTTCAAACCATTAGAAAATGGTTTAGAAAATCACAACAAAATACAGACTGCCTTTAATATGTTTAAAATTAGAATCCTTATCGAAGAGGAAAACAGAAAAGTATGCGCATTGGAGTCGTAAATTAATATTCTAGTAAAAAAAAAAAGGTTATCGAAACCAGGAAAACGAATGTAATAAACATCAACGACAAACCTTACGGCTTCAAATATTTAAAGTTACGTTAATTTCTTCAAAAAAAATTTCAATAAATACTGAATATAAATGGATATTTCGGAAAAGCGTTGCTAAATCACTCATATAAGTTCAGAACAGAAAAAAAATAATAAGAATAAATTGTTCGACTGTAAGGCTCTACAAATATTTCAAGAAACATGTTTTCGAAAAATATGACGCCCATAGTTTTATATAAAATTAGTCAATGTGAAACTAGTTTTAAATAAATGATGTGACACAGAGAATTATACATAATTTTTCAAGAGCTCAATCTTATGTTAGCATATATTCTGGATTAAGTCATTTTTAATTTTTTCGATTTAAATTTTGTATTTCCTTAATTCCTTTTTAAATTTTTTATTACGATTTTCATACATTTTTGGATATTTTCTGTAATTATGAATCCATATTTTGATATGAAACTAGTTTCAAGCAGAAGACACGGTGAAAAAAATCGCAAAAAGTTCACCCTTATGTTAAAACTATATATACGTTAGATGCGGTGTGTTTGGCCAAAGTAAGTTTTTTTTTTTTAAACATTTCTATATTTCAAGACAAGCATTGGCGTTTAATTTATTGTCTCCAGATTGGTATAATGCATGGTTCAAAAAATAACTATGATACAATTTATCATATATAAGTAAATATTGAAAAAATATCTATTCAATCTTCGGCATGCCAAGTTAATTTACGTAATGAGTACACCACATATTTGCATTTCTCAAAAAACTACAAATGAAACAAGCAAAATAAAAGTTGGGAGACTCCGGATTAATCTGTATCCCCCCCCCCCAAAAAAAAATAAAAAACTTACTCTGAATTATAAGAAATTAACGAATATGACACTTTTCCATATAGTTTTACGCTTACTTATTGTTCCACCATAATTTTTTTCATTCAATTCTTAAATTGAACAAGATATAAATTGTTTCAGGATTTAAAGTTAAGGTAAATACCTAAATAGTTTAGGCCCCGAGTAACTTTTGATCTAATGATTGGATATTCACATACTAGGATTCAATCTTAATTGTTTGGCGGGTTAACCTCAAATATGCGATTTTATAAAAAAAGATGATATTTTAAGTAACGAAATTATACGCAAAAAACGTACTCTTCTTGCATAAACATACTTTTTTCTGAGGGATTATGATTTCCCCACAAATTATTATAGGGAGTAGTTGCAATTTAGGAAATATGTTCCTAATATCATGACAGAGATCCACTCCTTAATGTTTATTTCACTTTTTGCGTATTTTGTCATATCTTGGGAATTTTTTTAGCGAATTTAAAAATGTTTGCACAAAATTATAAAATTTGCTTAATTAAAGATAATTCCACTCAAAAAACAATTTTAATAATTATTTATTATACTATTTTATTTAACAATAGTTGATAAAAATTACACAGATTTGGTATTGCAAGGTTTACAAAATTTGAAAGAAATCAGAACAGTTTGTGAGAATTCGAATGTTAAAAAGTCATATTTAAAATACGATTTCTCAATAACTTTTTAACCAATTTGGTTCAAATTTTGTATTTTGCTATACGAAGTTACATTCTTTAAATTAACGTGAATTTAATATTTTACAATTCAAAATTATTTATACTATTGAATAAAATAATAAATATTCACTCACAGTCATTTTTTGCATGGAATTATTTTTGGATAAATTATTTTTATAATTGAGAGCAAAAATTCTTTTATTTGCTAAGAAAGTTCTCGAGACAAGACAAAAGTAAAATTAACATTGAGGGGTTCATACTTTAAACTGATCTCCTGACCAAACTATTGGGACTACATTTCTAAGATTGCAGCAACCCCCTGAATTTTGAGGGTCAAAAAACTAAATCTGACAACAACAAAAAAGTATACTTATTCAGAGAACGTACAATTTTGTGTCCGATTTCGTAGCTTAAAATATAGTGTGGACAATATTCGAAGTCACCCTCTCAGACCAAAGATTGTAAACTAGTACATACAAATCCGATCATTTGATTAAACGTTTTTCCAGGTGTTTTGTTCATTTTTTTCTGTGCACTATGTATTTAGATTAATCATGAAATATTCCTCAATAAGATGCAAAATTACAACATTCAACAATATTTATTTCTTATAATTTCAATCAATATACATTTTATCAATTTTGTGAAATGATTAAATAATATGCATGGCAACAATGCAGAAATATACAACTTCATCTATATGAGATCATAGATAAAATTAAACATCATACACTATCTACAACACATATATCAATAAGAACACAATTGGTGGGAAAAAGACATGTATGCATGGCCACGCTCTATACTGTTCAAATAAAATATTAAATACCAAATAGAATCAGCCTTTCCCAATACAAGAAAATTATATTTGTAGGAACAATAAACAAATGGGAAAAAAGAAAAGAAAAAACTTTACAGAAGGAGTTCCCAAAATGTGATAAGTCATGTTAATTCAAGTAAATATTCAAGTTGAAATATACTTTTTATATCAAGATTAGAGAAAGCATTGAAAAAGGAATTTCCTTACTGAGGTGGCAATAAGCACCGGATGCTTACAAGACAACGTGTACCGACCAACGTGCGTCACACATTAGACATAGGAAAAAATTAACAAATTGCAGCTTTTTCCTTCACATAATAGTATTACAATCTTAAATAAAAACTACATCTAGCAACAAAGAATAAATTTAAAGAAACAAATGAAGACCAGAATACAAAAACAAAATTTATTTCAATCACAAAAATGCAATTGAAATTCATTTGAAGAACAAAATTATACAGGCTTCTAAGTACTTGTGCTATAGTAAAGTTGAAAATAATATTAACTCACACATAGATTATATACAATATTTAATAAATTATCTTTAAATATAATTTTGAATATGAATTTTTTTAGTTATCATTGAGTATAAATTGTAAGAAACTACAGAGATATGAAAATTGTAAACTGAAAGGAACCAATGATTTTGAAAATAATCCAGGGAGATAATTCCAACTAAAAGTACTCATTGCTGAGCATTCAGTCATTTAAAAAAGAAAAATAAATGAAGACATTTTTTTTACTGTAATTTTTATTTTGACATCATAAAAGTAGATATATTGAATTAAAAACTGTTGTTTCAAAAGTTGTGTAACAGTTTCATCTTTTTGTAAAAAAAAAGTCTACATTTTATTTTAAAAAGTATTAAAACAGATTTAATAGAACAGAATTGAAAAAGAAATGGAGAAAATTCTGTTTTAAAAAGCACATAAAATACTGAATAATATCTAACGTAAATACAAAAATTAAAATAATCATTGTTTGTGATAATTTTCACGAAAACAAAATATATAATGAAACTTAAGTTAAAAAATAGTTAAAAGCTATTTCATTGTTAATTAAAACAATTAAATGTAAGTCATAAATCAATTACCACTTACAGGCCCATAAAATAATAAAAAAGGCATTAAAAATTAAATTATTTTCAATCGTAAAATTTATTTTTTATGCCAAACAAAAAAAAAATTTAATAAATAAAAATTGTTTGTAATATAATATTACAGAGCAATCCAATTTCAAAAATAACTTAAGGTAAACAATTAACAACAAACAAAAGGAAAAACATTTATTTTTGTAGCAAAGTGGGAGGTATTTTTGAAAAATTTACAGTTTAGTTAAAATATCAGTAAATACATAAACATTCTATCCAGTAATTATGTATTTCATACATTACAGTAAAAACTCCAAATTATGTTGCATGGGAAGAACTCACAGGGTTTAACAATATCATACATCTGGTGTTATAAGAAAAATTATTAGATGAATTGCTTTAAATAATTCCCTACTGTATCTCGATTTGATTACTTATAATATTTTCTAACATTTACATAGAGAAAGTAAAGAAGCAAGAACAAATGTATACACATTGTGAAGATTACATAAATAATAGAATATCAATTGAAAAGCACACACACAGCTAGAATCTGCAAAGAAACTCATTAATGATTTTTATACAATGGTGTGCATCTTCATTTCCCAAAGTTAATTTATTTGGGTCAAAGTTTTATATAGGAATTCTTTTTAATTAAAATTTATTTACACTTTATCAAGTTTCTAATGGTAACCATGTTATAATGACACTGTTCTGTAAAACATTTCATTGATCAATAATATGAGAATGGAGCTGATGAGCAAATGAAAATCAACTTCAGTCAACTGATGTATGCTGAAGTTTAAAAACATAATCACAATAAGTTAAACACTCAACCTGTACTTAGAGTTAGTAATCCTGACACGTTTTCCATTTTTTTCAGTATCATAATCAATGGCATGTCTTTCACTAGAATGGGATACTTTTGATTGCACAGCTTTGGGTAGCTCTTCGTCAGCAGCATATATTTCTTTCCTCTCCAAACGCATTACAGATCCATCATCAAACTCAATAACATACAACTCACACGACTGTGATCCTTTAAACATGCCATTATAAATCTCACCATCAGGCCACTTTACTCGCACTTTCTCATTCATTTGAGGTGTGCCCGACTCTGTGATGCTTCTACTGACAATATCTTCAGGCAAAGTGTTTGTTGAATGGGAGTTGTCATCAAACAGGATAGAATAATACTCTTGAATGTATTTAGAGATCACATTAGCCCAGTAATATCTTTTATTTCGGTGTTTAGCTATGACTTTCTCTCCGACAGATATACTTGTTAGCTCTCGTTTAGGTGGCTTACGTCTTGCAGCAGTGTGCTTTGTGCATATCATGTGGATGGGGTCCGGCCAATCACAAGTTTCAAAAATCACTCCGGCCATGTAGCCACATGTGACATGGAATGATATGAAACACTTTCCAGACCGACATTGAACACATGCTCCCTTTGGCTCTTTGGTAATGGAGGTTTTAAAACAGTATCTACACTTTAAACGTTGGCGAGCAGACGTAACTTTTGACACGTTAACAGGTTGCTTTTGAATGGTGTTTTCAAAGAAAGTTTCAGCTATTAGAATTGCACAAACTGCATGAACCCAGCGACCATCAGTAGTTGGTTTAAGAGCTCCACCTCGCAAGACGCATAAACAACACTCTGCTTTAAAAGCTTGTGCTGTACACCGTGTGCAAACCCAAGAGTTTAATGGCAACATTGATACACCGTAACAAGTGGCATGAACAGATACTTTGCATCTTGAACATGTCAAAAGTGGAGCTGTACCATCCATTCTTAATAAAGAATTTGTATCAATCATGCAATCACTATTTAAAGAATTACCATAGCAATAAGCTGGCATTTTGACAGCACTATAAGAAGGCACATGAACTGGTTCTGTGGGAAAGCTATTATTATGATATAAAGGTGAAAACACTACACAAATAGCACAATGAGGTGCTACGCTAGCTAATCTCTCATTGAATGCGATTTCTGCATCAAAATTTCTAGGCTCATGCTGCCAGAGATTAGTAAGATGTGTAGCCCACCTAGTATCCAGGTTACTTATTCGCTTACTTTTAGATTTTGTTCCAGTATTGGGTTCAATTGGTGAAGAAAAACTAGTAGAACAGCTTTGACTAAGTTCATTAAGATTTTTTTCTTCAAGGGATATTTCAGCCTCATTGGCAACTACAAATGGATCATCAGACACTGATTCATTCAATACAACTGTCTCCACTGATGAATCACTTGACATAGCAGTATGTTTTAAGGACTGTTGAGATAGGGGTGAGCTATCAGGGGGAGAACTCGAACAACTTTTTAATTTAATTTTCAAACCATTTCTTTCACAACGCCAAGTTGGAGTAAAAAGTGGATACTCTACAGGAGAAAGTTCGGTTTTTAACTTCGTATCTTCCTCTAAACTATTTGATTTTCCTGACCATACAGTGTCATGCACCATGTCTTTTGAATCAAGTGTAACAATTGAGAATGAACCTGCATTTACAGCTTCTTGCAATTTAGGATAATCTTCAAATAACTTTATTTGTGAATTAAAAGCTTCTGTAGTTTGAATTTGTTTCAATTTTTCTTGCTTAATCTTCTCTTCACGATCCCAAAATGGTTTTAGCTCAGGTGGCTTTTCACCAGCAACAACTGATTCATTTAGAATAGTTTCATTTGGATAAAAACTCTTAACTTCTTCTTCAGGCTCTGACTTAGTAACAACTGTGTGCTTTAAATTTTCTTCTTCAAGTGAAGTATCCATGGTGACTTCTTGTTCAGATTCAGAACTAAGAATTTCTTTTGTTGCATCAATTTCAACTTCATTAATTTGCTCCCTATTTAATTTGACTTCAAATTCATCTGTTTTGAAATCTTGGGAAGAGATTTCACTAGCAGTTAAAATAATTTCTTTTGGTTTTTTCTTTTGCTTTTTGACTTGCTGAACTTTTGCTTGATTTTTCAAACGTTTTTTGGAAGATTCACTTTTAACAATTTCGTTGACATCATAAAATTTAGTATCTTCATCACTATCAGCCACATTTGTTTCGTATTCGTCATCTTGACTACAACCTGCTTCAGCAATATCTTGAGGTTTAGCAATGGGATGCCTTTTTATTTTTTGTACATCTTTCAATTTCTTTCTCTCTCTTTGCGCACAAAGTGCAAGTTCTAGCTTCTTAGGGGCAGGAGCTGCATACTGACGAGCTGGGTCTTCTGGGTGAGAACCTATATCTTTACCAGCTTTCCACAACTCGTATCTCTCTGGTTGAAATTTTCTTACAAAAATATCCATGCAAATTTTCACACAGTCATTTCTACAAACGCAGGAGATAGATCGCTTTCCATATTCAACCCAACGTGGCAATGCAAAATTGGTAGATTCTGCAATATTATATCCATGATTAAACCCGGAATGATAGGCATATGGAAATGTTATCATGAATTCTCCTGGTTCTTGAGTTATCTTACTGAAAGGGATTGAATATTGTTTCAAAATATGAGGTGATATTATGGTCATTTTATGTCTCAAAAAGGCAGGGCACTCAGAATGGCTACCATGGAAAAAACCAGCAGCTAATCTTTCCAATCGTCTCCCATGTTCAGGTGGAATTACATACCAAGATTTGGGAGCACCATAATGGACATAATTAATACTATACAAATCCATATCTTCTGTATGCCATGCAAATGTAGTTTTCCACATACCAAAATATAAGTAAGCAGTATTTACTCCTTCAATTTGTATCTCATAATCTTCTTTCACCAAATCTAAAATAGTATTTAGGCGCTGGATATTAAATTCATTTACACCAGTATCATAAAGAGATCCAGAAACATCAGCACCATAAATAGGTGAATTATATGTAATATTTTTCCAATACTTTCTCTCCAAATCTTCGTAATCAAAATGGTTCGGAGTTCGAAATTTGGGACTTTCAGCCATCCTACGAAATTCTCCTACAGTCAAGCATTTTTGAGAAATATTTAGCTGTTGATATAATCCTTGTCTTCCAGTGACCATTTGGGTAATAGGGCTAGGGATAACAAGATCAATATCATCGTATCCATTTCTACGTGGTATCCATCCTTCAGGAGGAATGATTTTCGCCAAGCCAGCTCTATGAGCACCCTGTGATTCAATATATTCAATGTATTTAGAGAAATGTTTAAACTCTTCCATAGTAGGTCGAAAGACTTGTATTCTTGGAGCAGAATAGGACATCTTGCTATTGAATTAAAATACCAGTAATACCTGAAAAGAGTTACAAAATATTGAAATATGGAGTTGAGTATAAATAAAAAAAAATTTACAAATTAAATAATCTCTATACACAATAAATATTTTGATGTACATAAGATTCAGTAAAATAGCACTGTGAACAAACAGTTGCACTTTATGCATAGAGGTTAACGAACTGTAGGATGTTTGTCACCATTTCTGAATATGAAACCTCAATTTCAAAATTTTTGTAACAAGTTATTTTTTTTAAACATTTTCCTTGTAATAATCACCCAAGCAGCAAAATGATTTGGGTCTTCATTGAACCAATATTCATGAATCTTAGCTTAATAAAGTTTCAAATAGCCGCTATTTTTCCAATATTGGCCATATATAGAACAGACCGATTCACCCGATACTTTATGGCCATTTTACAAGCAATATTCATCTTCTATAGAATTGTTAGAATCACCATATATTTTATAATCATTTGTAAGGCAATATAGACACTATATAGACAATTCTAAGACCAATATTAAAAAATCTAGACATCCTAATATTGGTTCCTCAATGCAATGCATGTTCTCATATAGGACCCACATTGAGCTAATTTTGAGCAGAACTGTAGCCAAGGTAAAATTGTTGCAAGGGATATTTCAAAAGTTTTTAGCATATACTAACTAGTTACAATAATTGAAAGTCTATGAATTAATAAAATGATGTTTACCCCCTGTTTTAGTCATGAACACCTTTAAGATTTTAAAAATTGCTATTTGGTACTGAGCAATTCTACCATTTATACAGATATCATATTTGCAGACCTTACAAGCATATAACTAAGTTTTAAAAAAATTCGAGCAGTTTTAGTGATTTTTTAAGAAATAAGTTAATGTCATTTATACTTTCTGTACTTTTTAGTAACTTTAAAAAGTTTAAAAAAATTAAATACTAAGTGTCATGAATCATGTTAATATGTTCAAGATTTTCCACTTTTTAAAATAATTTTTTATTTATTTACTTATTTTTGTACTACTGAGCATAATTAGCTGTGTTTTGCATCAATTTTTTTTATAAAACTTTGACATTAATTTTTTATTTATATTTACAATTTTATGTATTTATACTTTTTCTTTACCATTTGCCCTAATATGTTAATCGAGAACTGATTATAATTTATTTTTTGCTAGCAAAATATATATACTTAATTTATTGAGTACACGATTAAGCCGCTTTAAAATAGTTCTGTGTTCTCCCTAAGCGTTTTTAGAAGGGCGGACCGTTCTGCCTGCCCCCTGATCCCTATAAATGCACCCTCTTTGTAAAAATAAGCTGCTATCCCTTAAAAACTCAATTCATATTCTATTTTTAAGAAAATTTAATTAACCGCTAAAGTAACAATTACACACAAAACTTATCTGTGTTTATAAGTTTAACTAAGATTATAGTTACTATTTCAAATATTTACTTTGTTAGGATTATCCCCAACTGATTAAATTTTTATAAGCTTTTCTTTTTTCTAGGGGGTACATCAATAAATTTTTAAGTGATTTAAAATTTTAAAATTATTTTCTAAATAAATAATTTAAAAAAAATGTGAACCCTTACATGTTTATTTTCTAATTATTTTCGGAATAAATCATAGAAAAAAATATTTTAAGGTGTTAATCAAAAAATATATCTTTATACACATATTTTGTTAATTCTATTTTTCATTTATTTATTTTTTGAAGAAGAAAAAAAATGTATGCACTGAGATTGTCTCTTAGCATGTCTTTAATTATTACTTATAAACTACAAATTTTTCTCTTATTTAGATAATGAGTACCTATATAATATACAGTAACCTAAAAATTGTTGAGGATCAAATTTAGTTATTGCATGATATTACACATTTTGATAAATTTTTATGGTTTTAAGTTAGTGTGATTTCCCTTTTCTGTGAGGAAGCACCCTGTCCTTTTTAATTCCTACAGAGAACGTAGATAGTTTATAAAAAAAAAAATTTCTAAAAGAGGCACTTGATTGCTCATGATGCTTTGATTGAAATTTGGAAATACGATTTTAATAATTCTTTGGTACTTTAACTTACTAGTTATAAAAATATAAATTTTGTAAAAAATTCTAAATTAGGTTTATTGTTTCCTAGAAAGAAATTGTTTAAATTATCACTGTTTGGCATATGACTGATAATTAGATATGAATTATTTTTAAAAAAAGATACTAAATGTCTCATCATAATGTAATGTAATAATTATCAAATTATAATTTTAATTGTAACATCAGTGATAAAATATGTCTCTAAAAATGAAAAAAATAAAAATTGTAGCATTTGATTTCATTAAATTTCTCTACCTAACAATTCATTCAGAAATAATGTATTCATAGAATTTATATTAAGATAATCAATAATAAAATATAATCGAGGAAGCTCAAGTGTCGTAACAACTTCAAGGTTTAAATAACAGTATTGTCAAAATCACATGGAAAAGTTGCACATTAATTGAAAAAAAAAAAAAAAAAACTCTTAAATTTACAATGAAATCAGCATGTTATTAAGTAATTATTTAAATGCGTGATTTGAAATTCACAAGTCATTACAAAATTCCGAATTTTTAAAACCACATGGAAGTGCGTTGCAAAAACTGCCCAAAACAATGCTTGTCAAAAAGTGATTATTTGAATATAAGGTTTGAAACTTGCGTGTCGTAATACTTTCGTAAAAATATGGGATTTTCAAAATCACATGGAAAAGTGTTGCAACAACTGCCTTTAAAAACAACAATTAAGATTTACGATGAAATTTGCATAAATAAATCATGTTAAAAAGTAATAAATGCTCAATTTATAATTCACGAGTCATAATATTGTAATAAGTGTATCATAACAAGTTATAAATGTAAACAAAAACTGAACCATTACTTCAATTTATGATGAAATTTGTAAAAGTAAAGCTGGTTAAAGTGTTTTTGAAAATCGTGCATTGTACTGTTGTATTTAAAATAGCTTTTTTTTTTTTTTTTTTTTTTTTTTTTTTTTTTTTTTTTTTTTTTNTTTTTTTTTTTTTTTTTAAATGTGGAAATTTGTAGCAATAAATAAACATTGAAAAAGCATTTGAGGAACAACATTGATTCATGACCGAATCTATGCATCAAAAAGTAATGACCCGAATTTTAAAATTCAAAATTTTCGACTTTTTGTAAAAAGGAAAATCGTTTTCAGAATCTCCCTCAGGTCGCACATCAATCACGCGAGCTTCAGATTGCCTATTCAGGGGTCTGTTTAGAAGAAATTTGGGTCCGTTAACGGACCCTTCACAAAATATCTTTTCATAAAAACGGACCCTTCACAAAATATTTTAACTTATAAACGGACCCTTCACAAAATGATTTTTCTTTTAATCGGACCCTTCACAAATTTGTTTATCTTCATTATTATTTTGTTAATTGAATAAACCCTTTCCAGGGCAGAAAACAACAAAGATGGATGTAAACGAACTAAATTTTGTCTTCGGCAGACGATTCTTCCGTTATTCGTCCGAAATGAATATTCTGCGTTCAGCAGTATAGGCTAAATACCAAATATTTGTATGTTGCATCTCTAGTTTAGAAGCAGAAATTGTTGTTTATTTTTTAAAATTAAATTTTTTTAATTATAATTTTACAGTGTTGAGCATAATCTTGTATATCTTTAGAATTTAAAAACTCCTTGAAAAAGTTTTTTTTTGCAATAACGGACCCTATTTGCACAAATTCAAAAAAACGGACCCTGGTTGAAAGAATGTGAATAATTTTTTCACAATTTCACAAAAAACGGACCCTTCACAAAATGTCTGGACAGACCCCTGCTATTTAAATAATAATTTTTTTGCACACTTTATTTGTGCCGATCTCATCATAAATTTATGATTTTTTATTTATTATTATCACTTTTTTTTTTTTTTTTTTGCAATTCTTTCATTTTTTCAACTATTTTTTTCGGCAGTTATTTCCATATATTCCCTAAAAAATTCTGATAATTTTAATACGACATGCGAATTTTAAAATGCACATTTGACGCACTTTAATCATGCTGAGTTCAGCATAAATTTAAGTGATTTTTTTCTTCAACTATTCCTATATTTTCCCACGTGATTTTGACAATATAGAAAATAGGCCGAATATGTTAATTCGGGACCAAATAGCAACACTGAAACCAAAATTTCACTGCTATGCATATATTTTGCGGAAAAACGTATTCATTAAACACTAAAAAATAATACCCACCAGAAACACTTTTGAAAATGCTGTGCTATCATAAAAACGTCCAAAGATAATACACAAAAGCGAATCAGAGAGAATAATGACCGATCTTAATTTTTGAAAAAATTTTTTGAAGCTTAACATCTCAGTTTTACTGTTACCATACATTCAAGATGGAAAAAAATTAAGTCTATCAGAAATGCTCTAAAAAGTTAATTTTTCCTCTTCTTTCTTTTTTTTTTTTAAAAAAAAAATGAAAACAAAAAGGATCTTTTTTTGAATGAGCTTTTTAAATGCAATGGATGGATTTCTTGTGCTGGAAATTTCAATGTAACTTACTCATATTTTTAGAAGAAGAAAAAATTGCTATACAATAAAACTTATAATTAGCATTCATTAAAAAATATGCTGTGTTCCGTTAAAAATGCCTATAAAAAGAAAAGTTAATTAAAAAGAAAAACAGAAAAAACAAATTGTACTTAGCTCCTAAAACAAAACTTAAACACTAAAATTAAAATTTCTCTATGTTACTAGTTATTTATACTACAGCACAAGGAAAAAGTGGCAGTAAATGAATAGTATGAGACAATCCGTTAAAATATTGCATTTTAATAAAAGCACCAAAACTGTAAAAAAAAAAAAAACTTTTCGATTCTTATAACTAAAAGTGTCGAAAAAATGATGAAATTAACTTATCTAAATATAATTTTTAAAAAACAACAACTTGTAGTTCATTATAAAGAAATCTAGTTTATATTCTTCAAATTTCGTTTTTCTTTATGTCTTCTAGAAGAT